GACCTTAAAGTGGTGAAGGCCTTCTAAACACAATAAATTGAATCTCAAAAAATAGTTTCATGGTAAAAATATTTTAAAATACATGAGGAAAGACAAAGGGCAAACTGGGGGAAATTATTTGCTGCTCATGTCATAAGCCATTTGTAGATAGATAGATCGATAGATCAATAGATCGATAGATCGATAGATCGATAGATAGATAGATAGATAGATAGATAGATAGATAGATAGATAGATTCATTGCACCATTGCTTATAATAGCAAAAGAAAGAAAATAGTCCAAATACCCATCAGTAGGAAACTGGTTAAATATTACAAACACATCTATATGATGGATTTTTAGCCATTAAATTAAAAAGGACAAGACAGCTCTACACATACAGGTGTCAATACAGAAGCTATAAATACTCATATGGAAACTAAGTGAAAAGGCAATGCACAGAACATTGCATATGGGATGCCAACATGGGGAAGGAGGACACACAAGAAACTGGCAAAGGTGATCACCTTTAGGGAGGGAACCTGGGTATCCAGAAGACTCAAAGGGAGGAGAAGAAATTGACTTTTCATTGCATACTCTTTTTTCTTTAGAATTCCCTGTACAAGAAAAATTAATATTAAAATATTTTTTAAACACCCTAGACTATGTCGCATTAAAACAACTCAAGTTTTTTATTTGTATTTCTCAAACACTGCAAAAAGGACACACAGACTCCAGGGAGATTTCTTCAAACCCCATTTCCCTCTTTCTTGTGTAATGTTCTCATATTTCATAATTTCTCACCAGTTTTATTCCCCCACAAAGCTCAAACCTCCCCACAAAATTATCCTCTTTCCCCAGCCATGTTTTTTGGGTTAAGCCCTGCTGTAGGTGGTTGGACACATCCATGATTTCAACAAAGATCCCTGCCCTCATGTAGCTTACATTCTATCAGGGAAAATGTAGATATAAAATAAAGATAGGAATTAGCTACTGAGTTAGAGGTGAAAAGTACAATGGAGAAAAGAAAAATGTAGAGCAGATAAAAGGAAGGTCATGGGCAGAAGAAGGCAGATTGCAGTGTTAAGCATGGTGATAAGGGTTGAACTTAATGACAAGATAACATTTAAGCAAAAATGTGAAGAGGGAGATGAAGAAGTAAGCTATATGGACATCTTGGTGAAGGGGGATTTAGACAATGTGAAGAGACACGTGACCCTAAGGCGGGGCATAACTAGTGTCTTTGAAGAGCACCAAGGAATCCAGTGTGACTGGAGGTGACAAAGTGAGAATAGAAGATGAAGATGAAGTCAGGGAAATAAGGAGGGCCTTGTAGACCATTTTACCATGTAACATGAAGCTTTGGGCCCTTAAGTGCAATGAAGAACCAAACAGCGTGATGCCACTGTGATTTTTCCATTATAATCCACACCCCGTGATCTTCTTGCATCAACTGAGTCCCAATATTTGACGGACCAGTCACCATCGTGCCACTAGCATGCATCAGGCACCACAACACATTGTTCCTCAATTATTTTTGTTTTTTGAGACAGGGTCTGGCTCTGTTGCTCAGGCTGGAGTGCAGCGGCACAATCTCAGCTCACTGCAACTTCCACCTCCAGAGTTCAAGTGATTCTCCTGCCTCAGCCTCTCGAGGAGCTGAAATTACAAGTGCACGCCACCATGCAGGGCTACTTTTTGTATTTTTAGTAGAGACAGGTTTCACCATATTGGCCAGGCTGATCTTGAACTCTTGACTTCGAGTGATCCTCCCACCTAGGTCACCCAAAGCGCTGGGATTACAGGCATGAGTGACCACGCCCAGTCTGTTCCTCAATTCTGATAAGGATTTTTATGGAATAATCACTTTGAGTGCCTTTTTAAAAGCTTTAATTGGGAATGCTTGAAGCATTTAGACTCCTGTACAGGCAGTAGTATTGTAGTCCATTTGTCATGAAAGCGATCCATTTATTCAATGAATAAATCTGTTTCCATTGTTTTAATGTATTCCTTCAGCGATCCGTTTATTCAATGAATAAATCTGTTTCCATTGTTTTAATGTATTCCTTCAGCGATCCGTTTATTCAATGAATAAATCTGTTTCCATTGTTTTAATGTATTCCTTCTTTGAGTGACTTTTTGCCTGGCTATTGGCAATACTGAATATCCTTTCTTCCAATCACATCTTTAAAATTTCTGCTTCCTTTGTCCACCATCAACTAGACCCTTACCACACTCTTCTTCACAGACTGTTCCTATGACTATTGGCATAGTTGTGCTTTCACACCTGCATCACCGTGTCTGAGAAGCCACTGTCCAAATCAGCTTCTCTGCAGATGCTTTCAGGTCCTTCCTGAAAGCAACTCTGGCCTCAGCCTAGACCCTTGCACCCCATGTCTAGTTAAAAGCCTCATTATGACTATCTTCTATAAACCTTTATTTTTTTGGTAGAGATGGGGTCTTGCTATGTTGCCCAGGCTCCTCTCAAATTCCTGAGCTCAAGTAATCCTTCCACCTCAGCCTCCCAAAATACTGGGATTACAGATGTGAGCCACCATACCCAGCTTTTTTTTTTTTTCTGGGGAGGGGAGTGCATTTATTTTTCTGGGAAGGGAGGTGATTTTATTGCTGTCCTGCTCCATCACCACAGCATAATGGGCCCTGCATGCTCCAGGCCTGCATCATGTATCACCACAGCAAAAACATGATGTACTTGAACATGTTCCCTCCCAGGATATATATTAAAATTCTTTAAAGAAAAGAGAATAAAGTAATAACTTAAGTGATTAGGCACCAACAGCAATTTGAAAAATTAAATGTCCATTTTAAATGGTAACAAGACAAGAACTTAAGATTGGGCTTACTCTAGCCCATCGTCTCTTCCTGTCAAATTGCAACAATTCTATGGGCAAAAGATTCTAAATTTCAAGACACAAGTAGCAGACAAATACGTGAGAACACATATCACCAGTAATCACAGGACAGCCTGCATCTCCAGGAGGCCTCCTCGGCAGGGAGCCCACAGTGATTCCAGGCCCCAAAGAGCTTGGCAAGTTCCAGAAAGGTGGCCCCCTGAGGAAGCGCTTTAGAGTTCCTGAGATTAGCCTTGCTTCCCCCACATTTTAAAAATGAAGCCCCAGACAGGGCCACTTTCTCACTCCTTCTGAAAGCCTCCTCTAATCAGCCTTTCGCAAGGGAGAGGGAACTGCTAATTTAATCGATGCATCTTGTTCTCTTGTTCTGACCGTGGCAGAGGGTGTGAACAGAATGTTCTTTCCATATATATATATTTTTTATCTGCAGCTCCTTTGGAAGGCCTGTATTGAATGCACTCGGCTTGTCAGAAAGTGCCTTAATCCCAGTTGAGCAATAGAATCAATAATTTTGGATTTGTGCTATATGACAAGTCTACCACACAGGGCATGGCAAAAATGTTCTCCTTGCTTTTTTTTTAACTAGTAACACTGAGATTTAGTCAAAGTTACAGAGCCTGAATTCGGATCAGTTGCTCTGGTTTTTCACTAATAAGATTTCTAGGAATCAGGCTTACTTCAAAATCACATGTGCACACTGTGTTTTTCTTAGTTTGTCATTCCTATGCTCTGGCAAATTTCTGGGTCTAATTCCAAGATGTTGCAATTTCCCCCTGGGTACCACAAAAATGGTGATGTGTGCCTGGTCAATTTTCTTACATGGCTGTCAAAAAACAAAAGAAATTTCATCTGATTGCTTTCCCCACATTTTGTGATTATTTCCTTTGGGAGAGTATCCACCAGGTCAAGCACTATATAGATTTCTTGTTAAAGCACAGGTCTAATCATCCAAACACAACTCATTTACATGACCCCAGAACCACCTGTATATATTCTTCCCTTTAAAAAACTGCTAATCCTAAGGAGCATTTAGCCTAAAAAATCAGGTATCCCCAATCTATACCATTCTCCATCTCACCTTCAGCCTATATGCCAAAGTGCCTACTGATAAATGGCCCATCGTTCTCAGCTTCTAGGCTTTGTCGGGGAGTAGGGTTGGGGCCCAAGTCCTATTAGATCAGAATTGAAGAGACCTGCTGCCTGCTTCACTTGGGGCATGTGAGCCATGCGCGGCTTAATTTCACACAGCTCTTTAATTGAGCCCCAGTGCTAACAGCTTAATGGGACACCATGGCATTACATCCTGCAGATTTTGAATTAAAGTTTGAGACCCCCCTCAGGACATGCACAGTACTCCAATTAACACTAATTGGCATTACACATGATTACCAAGTGAAAAACATGGTTTTCCTGAAAATGCCTCCTCTTTTCTCCAGCTTTCAATAGTCCATAAATTCTAAGGAAACAATCATGAGTGCATGCAAAGATTAGCTAGAATGATATCTAGCATGATGTTTATATTGGGAGAACTTTGGAAACAACCTAAATATCTATAATGGGGGTTCTGTACATAAAAGATAGTAGAGACAAAAGCAATTATTTTTTAATGTTACACATAATTTTGACATAAGAAGGCGTTCATGATACATTGTCAAGTGAAAGAAGTTAAAGAAGTATAGAAATGGCATGGTATCACTTTCTCCATAGTATAGACAAAAGAGACTGGAGGGATATATACACTAAAATGTAAATCTCAAGGTGGTAAAAATAATGGTGATGTTTATCTGTTTCATTTCCAGATCTAAATTTTATTCTTTAAAAAATGCACTACTTTTCCGAAAAGAAAATGCCATTTTTAGGTCCACCATTGATTTCCGAAGAATAAATGCAGTGATTTATTTTGAAATGTGTTTAACCAATTCTTCATCTGCACCAACTCCTGTGTAGGGCACTGAGGATTCTATATCAATTATGTGTTAATAATTTTCAATGGAATTATGAAGGTAAACGGGGTTTTACATGTGTGGAAAGACGAACACTGGAGTGAACTGTTGCAAATGCACATCAGTTCACACTGATTTAATCATGCCAAACCACCCCCCTCCCCATACAGAAAGTTCATTTATGTCCATATGTTTCTCTTCCAGAGCCAAAGATGTTTGTCTTGCTCTATGTTACAAGTTTTGCCATTTGTGCCAGTGGACAACCCCGGGGTAATCAGCTGAAAGGAGAGAACTACTCCCCCAGGTATATCTGCAGCATTCCTGGCTTGCCTGGACCTCCAGGGCCCCCTGGAGCAAATGGTTCCCCTGGTCCCCATGGTCGCATCGGCCTTCCAGGAAGAGATGGTAGAGACGGCAGGAAAGGAGAGAAAGGTGAAAAGGGAACTGCAGGTAATGAATGAGAGGTTGCATAAAACACCCTCCTTCACCCCCAACTTAAAACTGTTCCCCTTTCTTTGTTACTTTTTCTAATGGGAATTGCTCTGGAAACCCCTTCTCTGCTTTCATTAATCATAACAATTTACTGAGCCCTTACTAGGCTTCAGATGCTTCCCTAAACTCTGTACCTGCATTCTTATTTCACTGTAATGTCAACTCTTTCAGCTGAACACTATCCCATCTTATAGATGAGAAAACTGAGCCACAGCATGATTAAATGAATTACTGAGAATGGACCGGAGTGGACATGCACTGCCAGTAGCTGCCAGAGCTGGACTCAAACATCTGATGCCCAGAAGTACTGGGCTATTGCAGCCAGCAGGCAATGGCTGGATGTGCAAGCACATGGATGGACAGACAGATGGACGGAAGGGGAAATGGACAGAGTAAGCAGAGGCAAAAACCAGGAGGCAGATGCACGGATGCCATCCTGCTCACCATGAATATCCTGAACAAAGATACATAAAGGGCTTCTAAATTTTATTTTTCACAGATGAAGTGACAATAGCACTGTAAAGCCTACCTTTCCTAGCTCATCACTTTCCCACCTGACACATAGCAGCTAAAAAGTAGATTTTTACAGCTCTTTACAGCAACATAATTGCCCAATAGTCCTTCAGTAATTTTCACTTTGTTTCCCCCCAAAATAAGTTGGTCCAGGAAGCTTGCCAGATTTTTCAGTCCTTCAGAGTAAACAGAATTGAAATTCTAGACAGGCTGTGTTAACTCTAAAAGAGGAAGGGATTTGGAATCAATCTTTCAAGACAAGTTGCTGAGCATAAAAGTTGGGACAAAAGATAGGAAGGAAAAAATTCTATGTATCTCCAATCATCACTCTTGATTTACTGAGTTCTGTAAAACAAAATCATAATATATATTCAGACGATTGGATAATAATTCATTTGTGAATTTGCCATGCGGATAATATTTGGCAAATCAATTATCAAATCTATGAACATTGCGCAATAACAGATAAAGAACCTTTAGGGAAAACTTCAACATCAGATAAGAAGCTTTAATTTGGAGCTAAAGTGTAAGTTTTCAAAGACATCTGTAAGGTAACACCTGTGAATACACGTTACATTGAGTCATAATTATGAATATTCTTGAAATCCTATAATAACACCAGGATTATAGTTATATATTGCTTTTTGTTTAGTGGGTCTGGAAGCAATAACAGAGTGGCTATACAGACAAACATTGGAGTCAGAAAGACTTTGGCTCAGATCTTAGCTCTTTCAATGACTAATCTAGTATCCTTGGCCACATATCCTCTTTGAGGCTCAGTTTCCTCATTTGTAAGTTGGTGGTAATAAGGGTGATTGTTAAGTTTAATGGCAAGAATACATGCAAAACCCTCCACAGGATAACTGCCATGTGATAAAAACTTAGGAAATATTATAACTTATTAAATTTTGATCTGCAAATATGAGTCACAGCTAAATTTGTGACTAGCCAAAGCCATATAATTAACTAGACATTGGTAATTCATTGCATGAGGTAGTTCTAATGTTAAAGACGTATATGTGGATATGCATTCAGATTAAATTAAATGTTCAGAACTGCTACCGTTTTAACCAAATATGAGGCCAGCTATACCACCACATTCATAGATCCATTCATTCATCCATGCATCCAGGCATTATTCATTCAATAATATTTCTGTGCACCTATTACTATCCAACATTATTCTTCCAGTGTTTCTCAATCTCTACACTAATGAGAACTGGGGTAGAATAATTATTTACCGTGGAGTCACTATTCTGTGCATTGTAGGATGTTCAATAGCATTCCACTAGACGCTAGTGGCACTCCTCTCCAAACTGACAATCAAAATTTTTCTATATGTAGCCAGCTATCCACTGGGTAGAAAGGTGGACAGTGCAAAATTGCACCTGGTTGAGAACACTGTTCTAGACACTGGGAACGCAAGCATAAGACATTGTTCTTACGTTGATAAGCAGACATTCATGTGGGGGAGGCCAATATATACAGACATAACTAAAATACATCATCATAATAACCATTTACTAAGAACTTACTAGGACCTTTACATTTCATATTTAATATCTACTATAACTCTATTAGTAATAATGATAATCAGCAATAAAATTAATGTTACAAATGAAAAAATAAGATTCAAAACCAAAATGACTTTCCTAACCTGAGATTATTTAAATACAATATACACACATATGGATACATAACAGCTCAGAAAGAAAAGGTAGGAATGACTATGTGATTGATGAAGAGAGGTGTACCTCACTTACAAACTACAGGAAGAGACTGGGAGATGTGGGGATGTGTTTTTAATATGGCTGTAACTGGCCACAACCTGACTGGGAGTGCCTGCTCCCTGTTTCCCCTTTAATGACACTACAAGTGCCTTCTCATTCACGTACTCTTGGTGAATACCCTCACCACATCCAACCCAACCATGTCCAATCAAGCATAATTTTGGTCCAACTTCCCTATCCTAAATGAGAAATGCAGAGTTTATTACACTCAGTTATAAATTTTCTATTAAAGTATCTGTCTCCCTCACTGGTCTGTTGCAATGATTATTGTAGCATAATATTAGCATTTAATTTCATCTGGGTACCTATCCATATAAAAATCTTCAGATAACACTAGAATAACCTCATGAAAAAGATCATTCATTCCAGTTTATCATATGGATTTAGGTATTTGTGAATTTAACTATGGCCCATATTTGCAGATCCAAAGTCATAAGTAATAACAGCTAATTTGAGGGTCGGGCAAATGTCTTTCATGCCCATGTTTCACTTAGCCCCTAGTCCATGACTGGTATATAGTAGATGGTCAATTAATGTTAGATGGTTTACTTGGATGCATGCCTATGTGCATAGATCCATGGATAGATGGATGGAAGGATAGAATGAATGAATGGATGGATGGAAGGAAGAAATGGTAAGGAAGAAGAAATCTAGGTAGACCCATTTCATGGAGAACTATAAAGAAATCCTTTCTTATCTAGTTTCAATACCTAAACATAGACTAACCCTTACCCCCATAATCCTCCACTCTACCCAAGCATACATCTGACTAAATAGGGAGAAGGACAATGACTCATCCCTTCTTCCCATTCTTAATGTGTGGAACCTAAGCACGCGAGCAAATTCTTCATACAAACAGGAAGAATAACTATACATTATTACAGCTAGTCCATGATTATGTATCACCCAATTCAGCATCTCAAACAAACGTTATTCTAGAAAATCCAAACTTTCAGGCTGTGAAGGCATTTTTGGACAGCATTGTAAAATTGCATCCCAAAGTGTATAATTTGGTCTCAAGGAATTTTCAAGAGGGTGAGACCTCAAACGATCTAGTCCAACAGCTTCATTTCAAGGACTGGGAAACTAAAGCCAGAGAGATCAAGCCCTTTCTTAAAATTCACCTAACTGATCCATGGCTGAACTGGGGTTTTATCCCAGGTCTGTTTGCTGCTTTGCCCAGTAAGTTTGGATTGGACTTAGATCCAATCTCCCCTTATTACAAATGGAGCATTTAAAACCCAGAGAAGAAATGACTTGCCAAAAAATTAAATTTAGGTTTGGCTTAATAAAAGTTCTCAAGAATAAATACATAGGTAAAGTAAAACTGCACAATTCATCAGCAATATGTTATATTATATATAACATATATTGTATATATTATATTATATTATATTATATTATATTATATTATATTATATTATATTGTATTATATAATGGCATCACAACCAGCTACCCACAAGACAGACTACCTATTATATTTAACAAAGTCCTCTTCAATGAGGGAGAGCACTACAACCCTGCCACAGGGAGGTTTATCTGTGCTTTCCCAGGGATCTATTACTTTTCTTATGATATCACATTGGCTTATATATGTTATATATAATATTACATTTATTACACTTTTCTTTCTGAGCTGTTATGTATCCTTATGTGTGTATATTGTATTTAAATAATCTCAGGTTAGGAAAGTCATTTTGGTTTTGAATCTTATTTTTTTCATTTGTAACATTAATTTTATTGCTGATTATCACTATTGCTAATAGGGTTATGGTAGATATGAAATATGAAATATAAAATATATTCAATATATTATATATAATATGTTATATATATAAAATCATTGCTTTTTTATATCTATACAATGCCTTATATGTAAAATGTCAATGTCACATATGAATCAATGTCTTATATATAATCTATTTTATATCTAAAACATCAATGTCATATACAAAATCAATGTCTTATATAGATTTTATATATATAAAATATTGTATATATAATGTGTTATATACATAATCTATTTAAATTTTAAACCATTTATATAAATTAAATTGATTTTGCTTATTTCCTTCAACCAGGATCACCATTTTTCTGTATTTAGCCTATAGTTGGTCTGCACATATAAAGATTTAGACACACAGAAAATATTCCTGTATGGTGATTTGGAATTTGTGAAAATTATTTCATAGCAATTATGTCTTTTCTGTATATAAAGAGACTCAGAAAAATTAAGGGACTTAACTAAAATGATACAACCATTTAGTGACAGAGCCAAAGACTATTTAAGATTCTTGACTCCAGCCCCAAAGGTAAAAGGCATTTTGATGAACAGGAAACATCATTCAACTAAGAAGGCTTGGATTCTAGTCCAGATACAGAGGAATTTTTTTTTGTTTGTTTGAGACTGAGTCTCGCACTGTCACCCGAGCTGATGTACAGGGGCGCAATCTCTGCTTGCTGCAACCTCCACTTCCCGGGTTCAAGCGATTCTGCTGCCTCAGCCTCCTAAGTATCTGGGACTACAGGCGTGCACGACCACGTCTGGCTAATTTTTGTATTTTTAGTAGAGACGGAGTTTCATCGTGTTAGCCAGGATGGTCTTGATCTCCGGACCTCGGCATCCGCCTGCCTCAGCCTCCCAAAGTGCTGGGATTACAGGCGTGAGCCACTGCACCCACCTCCGAAGCAAGTTTTTTTTTACCTGTCTGGGACTCAGTTTTCTCCTCACAAAAGAAGCTACCGCATGGTGGTGGCAGTCATTGTTTTTTGGTTATTGTAGCATGTTGAGCCCTCACTATGTGCCAGATGCGCTTTCGAATGCTACGCTCCTGCTGGCCGGGCATGGTGGCCCAGGCCTCCCAAATCTCAGCACTTTGGGAGACCAAGGTGGGCGGATCACCTGAGGTCAGGAGTTCGAGACCAGCCTGGCCAACATGCTGAAACCCAGTCTCTACTAAAAACACAAAAAATTAGATGAGCATAGTGGCAGATGCCTATAATCCCAGCTACTTGGGAAGCTGAGGCAGGAGAATCGCTTGAACCCGGGAGGTGGAGGTTACAGTGATCTGAGATCACACCACTGCATTCCAGCCCTGGTGACAGTGAGACTTCATATCCAAAAAAAAAAAAAAAAAAAAATGTATTATTTAGTAGTACACTGTTAAAGGTAGCCTGAAAAGACAAAGTTGGGATGTGCTGGGACCACGTAGGTATATTGTTTGTGATTATATCTTTCGAGGAACTATTAATCAAACTATATACTCTTTTTGAAGGTTTGAGAGGTAAGACTGGACCACTAGGTCTTGCCGGTGAGAAAGGGGACCAAGGAGAGACTGGGAAGAAAGGACCCATGGGACCAGAGGGAGAGAAAGGAGAAGTAGGTCCAGTTGGTCCTCCTGGACCAAAGGGAGACAGAGGAGAACAAGGGGACCCAGGGCTGCCTGGAGTTTGCAGATGTGGAAGCATTGTGCTCAAATCCGCCTTTTCTGTTGGCATCACAACCAGCTACCCAGAAGAAAGACTACCTATTATATTTAACAAGGTCCTCTTCAATGAGGGAGAGCACTACAACCCTGCCACAGGGAAGTTCATCTGTGCTTTCCCAGGGATCTATTACTTTTCTTATGATATCACATTGGCTAATAAGCATCTGGCAATTGGACTGGTACACAATGGGCAGTACCGGATAAAGACCTTCGATGCCAACACAGGAAACCATGATGTGGCTTCAGGGTCTACAGTCATCTATCTGCAGCCAGAAGATGAAGTCTGGCTGGAGATCTTCTTCACAGACCAGAATGGCCTCTTCTCAGACCCAGGTTGGGCAGACAGCTTATTCTCCGGGTTCCTCTTATATGTTGACACGGATTATCTAGATTCCATATCAGAAGATGACGAATTGTGATCAGGACCAAGATCCCTGTGGTAGACACTCTGATTGAATCTGGGGTTCCAGAAGGTGGAACAAGTAGGAATGGGATCCAAAGAGACTCCCACTCAGATTCTAAAGCCTTTAAAGACAATTCCAGCAGAATTTATCAAAACAAGATGAAACACAGAAAAATTGAAACCACAACAAAATGAATTCTATTAAAGAATAGCCCCAGATATAAATTCTTTTGAAAGCAATGTTCATAAATATTTAAGCAAATTAAAGACAATATTAACAAAATTTCTATTAAATGCCCTGAGTGACAAAACCAGTTGGCAAGAATATTGCCTCATTAAATCTTCAAAAATATATTTTAGTCTGTTATTTAAGAGAAACATAACATAACATCCCAAAATCTTTGACAATTCTCGAAAGGCTATATAGTAAGTCAAAAACCAAAGGTAAGAGATGCTAACTATTTTTCAAGCAAGCTACAGAGAAATGACAAATGTCTTTTTATTATTTATTCCTTCGTGTTTGTATATATTCACTCAGCAACCCATTAATGAGCCTGTAAGGACCAGACACTGTGGCACTGAATCAGATTTAATAATGAGTTAAGACAAAGCCCCTGCCTACAGGCTAGTGTGTGGTGATCAAACGATCACAATTCAGTGTGATGAGCAGCATAGCAAACAGATGGATTTGATGCTAAAAGCACACAGGGTCTGCTATTCCTGAGGCTGGGGTCCAGAGAAGCTTTTACACATGGAAAAACACTAATCATGCCAAGGTGTATGTGTTTAAGTGGGTGTGATGGATGCAAAGAGAATGAGGAATTCAGCATTGCATTCTCTTTGCACCCTCAATGCTTATTGGTATTCTCAACAGTGAAGGGGTGAAAAATCTAGAGACAGAGGAGGCCTGGCAGAGGTGATAAAAATGAAGACTGAAATGAAGAGAAATAGCCAGTAGGTGATTCTTGTAAATCCTTTAGTGTGATGGTTTCCCAAGACAAATATTTGTCCTAATAGCTTTCTCATAAATATGGGCACCACTTTACATTGTGGTAAGACGTTGCTTCTCATGGATCTGCTAGGTATTTAGCTCAAATAAAGCAAGGCATATGTTCACTGATTTATGAGTAAGCTGATGAGAGCAATGAACAGGAGAAGGAGGGAGAGAGACCAAACGTCTGAGTAAACAGACATACCTTCCAAGTCTCACACCTCCCTTAGTCCCACTCTTGCTTATGTCAGCACCTTGTTCTTCACTGCACTGCAATTCTTCAATTATTCTCTTCCATGTTTCTGTCTGATCTACTGTTCCCATGGTTTATGGTAATAGTACTTCCTTCATCCCTCCCTTTTGGTAACTTCCAATCCTCCTTCTATGTATTCCTTTCTCTGCTCATTGACTTATAAGTAGTTTTCATACCTCTTATGTTTGAATCACCATGCTAGATTCTGTGAAGACAGAAAAGTATTAAGATTAATATATTAATAGTATAGCCCTGACTGGTAAATTTCTTTTTTTTAATCTTCCCCAATTTAAATTTTGTAATTTAAAAGTAAATTTTACTGTCGAAAATGCAAACTTGGGGAGGGCAGAAGCATCACACACAAGGCTGCCACTTCACACCTTGAGGGTTGCATGGCAGCCAGGCAAAAGTGCTTCTTACTTCACAGACAGAGGGACGGCTGGGCAGAGGTGCTCCTCACTTCCCAGACAGTGCAGGAGCCAGCTCTGACTAGTAAATTGCCAAGGATACAAGAAAGGAAATGGCATGCACACACACAAAATACCTATAATTTTGGAAGAGAAAATGATAAAATATGCTAAGTTCTAGGCTGGAAATAAGGACGAAATACTGTGAAAGAAGAGGAAATGTTTACTTCCAAATTAGGATGTGACAGAGAAGGGATAGGGAAATCCTCTCTGTTCACTGGACCTTATGTGATGGGTGACACTTGGAGTGGCACAAGTTGGGGAAAAGCACACTTGAGACAGAGGTAATGATGGGGATGAAGTGAGAACAGAGACCCAGAAGCAGAATCAATGGACCTTATTTGTAAGAGCTTTGAAAGCCAGCCTGAGAACTGGAGAGTTTATTCATAAGAAAGTGTGGAGACCCTGTGTATTTCAGAGCTGGATACTGCCATTAACACAGATGAAAGTTGCAATCATCTAGCAGTTGTGTGTAAGGGCAAGGCTAACTTTTCCTGTCTTTCAACCCTATCTTGCTTTCACTGTCTTCATCTGCCTGCCATATTTGTGCACTTATTGCTCTCCTTCTGAGTCAGGACGTGTGTACAGGAGACCAAGAACAATGAATATTAGAAAAAAAGGAGAGAGCAAAGGTGGTTTGAGGTAGTCACCTGCTTACAAATAATAGCCAAAGATAGAATTCCAAGTTGTAAAGCACAAAAAAATAGCCAACAAAAGTAACTAATTTGGGAAAAATGAACATATGGGCCCTTTGAAGACTACAGGATTTGCTGGATAAAGTGGAAATGGAGAAGTTATTGCAGACAGTCATGAACCACAGATTACTGTGATTAAAATTTTCTTCTGATCGTAATCCACAAATGCATTCATTTTTTGGACATTGCTTGCTTATCTTTTAAAAGTTTCTTTTATTACAAAGCCTATTTTGAGTAGCTTTTAAAACTGAATTTTCTTTAATTGGTTTGAAGCCTTGAGATGAATTTCGTTTTGAAATATCTGGTGGGATGGTAAAGAGAACTGACATGAGAAAGGAGGAGTTGTTTTGGTATTAAATGAATCAAATCTTAAACAAATGTAGGTGTCTTTTATTCTTAAAAAATAGCAGATACAGTTTATCCACATTTGTAAATATTTGTATAAAGAAAGTAGCGGAACAATTTTGGTTTAAAAAATTCCAAGTCTCATTCTAATCGTTCTTTATAAAGGCTGACTTGTAATGAGTACGTATTAAGCAATATTTATTGACTGTATACTATCTTGTTCTAGAAGAGTTTAAAGTCACTTACGAAGATAAATTAAGATATAAAAAGAAAACAGCAGTAAAAAGCAGATGAGAAGAAATAGGAAAAACAAAGAAAAAAGAAAATAATGAGGCTAATATAATACTGTGTGTACATGAAAATGCATGTGCCTGTGTTACATATTTTCAGGTCACAAATGTTTCTTTGTGCCCCTGAATGCACAAAGGTATTTCCAGGTCATTTATCATTGTGAATAATGTTGCTTATGATAAAAAATAGATTCCATAAACTCTAAATATCTTTTTTTTCTACCACTCTGTGTAAAAGATCATGAACGTAAATAAATTTTAGATATGAGCTGGGTAAGTCCATTTGCATTGCTATAAAGGAATACCTGAGGCTGGGTAATTTATAAAGAAAAGAGGTTTATTTTGGCTCACAGTTCTGCAGGCCATACAAGCAGCATGGTGCCAGCATCTGCTTCTGGTGCGGCCTCAGGAAGCTTCCAATCATGCTGGAAGATGAAGAGGGTGCCACCATCCTATCACATGGTGAGAGAGGGATCAAGAGAGTGGGGCGGGGAGGTGTCACACTTTTAAGCAACCTGATCTCACATAAACTCATTAGAATGAGGACAGCACCAAGCCATTCATGAGGGATCCACCCCCATGACCCAAATTCCTCCCACTAGGCCCACCTCCAACATTGGGAGTCATATATCAACATGAAATTTGGAAGGGACAAAAACATCCAAACCACATCATTAGGTTTCTCTCCTTATCTCTCTCTCTGTGTAGCTCCACTTTAAGTAAATAGCATCATTACCCACCTTGCACCAAAGCCAAAACCCTAAGGTGCAAGCTAAATGTCTTCCCTCCCTTCCCTACTGAATTTTGCCCAGCATAAAATTCTTATGGTTCCAGCCACTAAATGCACATATCTGATTCACTGCACCTTTCCATTCCCGGTGTGAAAGGTGTCATTTATGCATTCATCATCACTTCCCTCAATCAGTGAAAAACGTTGTAACTGGCCCTTTGCCTCCAACCACAACCCTCCAATCCATCCTCCACACTAGATTGAGTATATCCTTTTAAAATGAAAATGTGCATGCCATTTCCCAGCTTAAAAAACAGCAATGACCCTCCCAACCCCTCCACTATAAAAGGTGTTTTGAACTTCTATAGGTTTGCCATCAGGTGTGTATTTCACATTGTTTTCTGGTATCCATACCTAAATTCCTTCTGAAGGACCATCTTCCTTAACATGCTAAGTCTATGAGCTTCTCAGTGGAATTGACACTTCCAGTATGTAAATCTCTAGCCTAATTAATCAGAGTATAGCATCCCACTCACCAAAATAATTGATTCAGATGACTCTGTGAGAGTCAATGAAACTTTGCTGGGACATCTATAGAAGAGAATCTCCTTCTTTTCCATTGGACTTGAGCCTGTGAACCTCCACCAGCCAATTACCAACACAGAGCATAATACCATGCAAGAATAGACCCATGCACAGATGAAGCAGAGAGACAAAGAGAGAAAATGGCTCTTGGAATCATCATCTGAACCCCGATCCAGACATATCTATAGCCAGCTCTTCCCTTGGACTTTTGAATTACGGTAACTATTAAATGCTGTTTTTACTTAAGCCCTTTGATTATTTGATCTCTTGGAAAAGATATTATCCTACCCAACATTCATAAAAGCATCATTTAGTATGGTGCATTGAGTCCTTGAGGATGTAGCTTCTGCAAACTTTTACAGTCACATCTTCAAAAGTCACCCACATGCAATTATTATCCAAGAATATGCAGATAACTGCAATTCTAGGGTACTTTTCCCTAGGGTGCCTCACCTTTTCAGGTTCAGCTCAAAAGTTGCTTTCTTTTCTCTAATCTTTCCCTTCCCCTGTGCCTAAGGAGAATTAACCACGTGTGTTTTCCTTGCCATCTGGGAACCAGTGCATAGTCATGGTAGCAATAGCAATCACTTTTTTCACTGGGCACTTTTTGAGTGGTTTACATATATCAGCTTACTTGGTCCTTGCTATGGTCTGCATGTTTGTGTAGCCTCAAAAGTCATATGTTGAAACCTAATCGCCAGTGGGATGGTGTCAGAAGGTGGGACCTTTGGGAAGCAATTAAGTCATGAAGGACCTACCTTCATAAATGGGACTCCTGCCCTTATTTTTAAATAAAAAGGACCCAAAGACCTCCTTTCAACACACGAAGACACAGTGAGAAGATGGCCATCTATGAATGGGGAAGCAGGCCCTCACCAGGCACCAAATCTGCTGGCACCTTGATCTTACTTTCCAGCCTCCAAAACTGTAAAATAAATTTCTGTCATAATCTATGCAATTTTTGGTATTTTGTTATAGTAGCTCAAATGGATTAAGACAGTCCTCACAACAATTATTCTCCTCATTTTGCAGATGGGTAAACTGAGAGGAAGAGAGGTTACAAAATATGTGGAGTAAATAGTAAGTGGCACAGTAGCCCTAGGCAGTGACGCTCCAAAGCCCACTCTCTTAACCACCATGCTGGCACCTTGCTCATATATTTTTTGTATTTGTCTATCTGATGGAGAGCTTGTTTGCCCTATTGATTTTTATATCCCAGGACTCTACATGATGACTACTATAGTATGTGCTCAATAAAATTATGATGTATTAATTGGTGACAAGTTCTTTTCAGTCACAATCTACACATATTGTCAGAGTCAAACGGGGGAGGTGTCACAACAGGAAAATCATATAATCATCTTGTATGTTAATATTATTTAGATTATAACT